ATATGTATATGTATATGTATATGTATATGTATATGTATATGTATATGTATATGAATATGTATTTTTCCCATGTCCTGGGTTCAAGTTCGACGGAGCTATAATGCTTGGTAGTTTGAGTGTCAGTTTGAGGCTGTTTCTTGGCATTGAGGTTCTCGATCATAAAATATCTTGTAAGGCTGTTAAGTTTAATTGGGTTCAAAAACACGAGTTTAATTAATTATTACAGCTTGTACAGGAAATGTTTATTATCTTTGTTTGATGAAAATGCACATTGCAGTCGTAGCGGGAGATGTACGTATTTCTTGATCAGTAGATGATCATCAGCAATAATATCTGTATGTAGGTACACTTGGATATAGGAAAGTCGCCAAACATTTGATTTAATAAATTGTGATTGACTTAACGGTGCTAAATAAAACGACATGAATATTCAATATTTCATAGAAAATAAAAAATGCCAACTGATTCGCATATTTGAATCTGACCTTTAAAGGGGAATTCGATAAAACTTATAGTCGGTATCCAAAATTATATAAGATATGCATGAATATATGTATATGTATATACAATTTGGAGAGTCGAGCCCTAAAGATATTGGAGATATAAACGGGAATAGTTATCGATTTTTTATCTTTTACCAAAGCGATCATGACCTGATTTCCCAATTCAATTCCGAAATAAATCCATTAAATGTCTTAAAATGAAAGCTCTCAGACGTAAATTGCAAACTCTTGTATTGATGACAAAGCATATTCGAGAGATTGCAATTTTGAAGATGCAATTGCTGAAATAATATATAGACAAACTTGGGCAGTCAACACCCAGAACTCCACCACAGTCATTCTGTGCAACGTTTATTTATTTTCAGATGAACTTGAAGACAGTCCATGTTACACCTGCGGTCGTAATAGGTATTAATTACAATTACCTAAAACATTTGTATAAGTTGAATCGAACATTCAAAACGTCCGTAAATTGATTATCGATCGATCAAGAATACTACATGAGCTCATTACTTTTAACGAAACAATTATACTATTTCGTAAACTATTTCATTGTCATTGATTACAATAGTCCATCCACGAGCAAATTTGTTTTTCAAATGAGTTCTGTTAACATAGATCAATTTGCAGCCCAGGCGCAGTCGCTGCCCCAATTGCGAAGTTAGCAGAGCGCAGAAGAATTTTTGAAACATGAGTTCTTGGAAGGGATCAGGAGATCTCGTAGTCGACCAGACTCAACTGGATCACGCCAGCTTTAACGCCAATTAAGTAAATATTTGAAGAGCTCTCAGCGTGACGTCTTTTTCACTTTCATTGCTTAAACCGTTGCTAAATGCTCGTTCACACATCTTAACAGGCTGGCGATGATGAGGTTGTTAAGTGTTGTTGTGGGTAAGTTACTAAAGCTCGCCGAGCAGCGATTCCTGATAAGCATATACATATGATGTGACATATGAAAAGGCGGAAAAGATAAAAAATAGAAGTATGCGCCAAAAACAAAATGTTTATCAGCAAAGACGAAAGAAGAAGAAAACTATTTGCCGGTAGTATGCGATAAAATTCAAACTTTATAACCAAGTCTGTAGTTTTTTATCATTTAATTTTTATTATGCTTTTTTTATTCTGTACAACAGACGTCACAGAGTTTTGGGTATATTTTGTAGTGCATTTACAAAATATTTGTTGCATGACTCACATTGAATGCATCGATTCGATTTGAATTGATTTAATTTGAGGTTCTTTGTGTGAGCTGATAAAAATATCTAAAAATATATATAAAATCGATTGCAATTAGCAGGTCTTTCAACCCGATTATCTGCTTACTACCGAAAGAAATCGAAACTTCCTGTTGCAGTGATTCGCCATTGTCTAAAGTCATAAGCAAACGCTCGTTGTAATGTGGGCTGCATTCACAATTTTGTGAGTTGAGCGTTATGAATAATTTGCTAATGGTGCCGTTAGAGTCGCCACGCCCCCATTTTGGCAAGGGGATCGTCTTGAATGACACGCAAAGCTTCGTAGGCACGTGAGGCGAAAGCTACGACCAAACTCCAGGGTTATATAATATATATACGTATATAACCTGGCTGGCAAGGCCTAAATAATTGCTTTGTAAATTGTCGGAAATAGATATTTGTATAATGAAAATGACTTGCATTAAGAATGAACTCAATGCATATTATAAAATAAAGAGACGAATTGAAACATTCGAAGCAGTTTGTCTATGAAAACTTACAAGGATTTTAGTAAATAATCTACGAGTGCCGCATATAAGTAAGAATTAAGAAATTCACTGAACGGAAAAATAAATATTTTATCTTTTTCCTCACACACTCCGCACTGATGGCATTTAATTTCTGCTTACTGTTTATTTTCGTATATCATATTACATCATATCAAATAACATGCTATTTATTTTATTCCATTGCTATTTTAATGTCAAGATTTCGGTACTACTAATTATTTTTTACTTTACAAACTTTAGCTTAATATAAAAAATGTACTTATAATTCCAGTCTTATTTTTATATTAATTATAACTATAATTATCATTCTTATAAATGTATATTATACATTATTCTGTTCATCAATTTATATGAAAAACTAACTCAAATATTTGCTTGTTTTTCCAAACCCTTTTGTCGAGTTATCGAAAACTTTTAAATAGATGTTATAATACACTAAAAATGTGGCCCATGTGGCAGTTTATCAGCATTTTATGACACTATAATCGTTGATAATTGACAATTGCTGATAACAAACTTTATTATAGATGTGCACATATATATAAAGGTATATGTGTTTTTATATATATAGGCTTATCAGGTAAAGAGAGATTTTTTATATTTATACGAAGAGATAGGGGAAACGAGCAGTCAAAGTTGGCCTGACACTTAGCCAAGTTAACTAAATTTTCAACATTGATTTATATCTATATTCTCACATTTATTGTTGTGTGCTTCTCACACCCACAACGCATTAGCATACAAAGCAAGATCAAATGATGGCGCATCTCGGTGCCAATGCGAGTCAAATTCTTTTTCACTTTCACAAGCAAACCGGCTAAACAAACCGGTCAACTACTACAGTGAAACAATTCTAGCAAATGAACAAGAGCCGCTCGAAGCAGAAAACAAAACTGGTCCAACATAGACGAAGGCAGGTTTAGCATGTCGGTGTCACCTGGAACGCTCTCTGTGCAATGATCTAACCATGAGAAACTTCGGAGCACAGCCAACACAAAAGTGCTGACAAATTGTGACCAAAACCCAAATGCAGCTGAGACTTTTGGGAATACGTTAAGTTAGAGATATTCTAATAGAGATATTTCCAGGTAATATATTATCGGGAATACTCTAATAGGGATATATCATACACTTGGAACTGGCTTGCAATTCCTCCATTTCCAATTATAGTTATAGTTATAGTTATAGTTAGTTATACGAAAGTAATTATCTAATTAGGTTTTTGTTTCCATTATTTTTCTCCTTCATATGAAGAGCTGTCCTTCGAACAGAATATTTAAGGACCATTCCGTTATAGTACATAGATTGGATAACCGGATAGCCTGATAACCGGAAAACACCAATGCTTGGGCAACTGTAATGCTACTTATCAGCTGGAAATTAACAACAAAATCGCTGCTAATCCACGTGATTTCGCTCATTCAATTGGGACTTTATCAGTAGATTTCCCTAGGAAAATTTATGACAATTTGAATTTGGACTTTACCCATGCTAGCCATCAGCTCGGAAATGCTACGGCGATGACGTTGCACTCGCATATTTTGCAGATCTGACGTCAGCGTCGCTGTCCTCGCGCTCTGCAGCTGCTGCGCCTCTGCGTTGGCAGCGCTGCTGCCGCTCAGTGCATTCGGCTGGGACATTTTAGACAATACTCCTGCTGCTGCTGCGGCTGCTGCTGTTGTTGTTGCGGTTGTTGTTGTTGTAGCTTTGTTTAATTATTTGGTATTTTTGGTATTTATTATTTGGTGTTTTTGCTTGTCGTCGAGAGAAATTCATTTTGTTTATGTTTCTGTTTTTTGTTTTCATTTGCAATACGGAAAGTCCGTTCCAGCTGTTGTTGTTGTTGTTCTTGTCGTTGTTCACATTACACCAGCTATTTAAACAACAAATACAGATGTAATTAGGCTCTCAAAAATTGGCTCAAGGCGACAACAAGTTAAATGGCACATCAAAAATTAATTACTATTCTTTGTAACTAAACATAATTTAATTGGTCACGTTTCCTTTGTATTTAATTATGGATTAATTGTTTATAAATTCAATTTTTATTGCTTAAAACATTTTGCTGTTGATTATATGTGGCTACCGAAGGCTCGCTCTATATTAGCTAAGAGAGTTTTTGATTTAATTCAATAAATAAGAATTTAAATTAATTTTTTGCTATCCAATTTATGCAGATTTGTTATTTTGATTCGAACTTTCTTGTTCGCTACGAATAGAATTTTGGTGCAATTAGCTCGTATATCTGGTATATATATATATTTTTTTGTTTTATTTAAATAATTATATATTTTTATTTAAGCACACACATTCATATAAGTACATATACATATGTATAAATGTACACACATTTAGATACATGTGTGTACATTTATAAGCCACTTGCCGCTGATATTTGTATGTACTTATGTACATAAAAAAATACATATCAAAAGCTCATAAAACTTTGCACAACAAATTTTTGGCACAAAAGGAAATTTTGCAATGGTGTAAAAAAACTGTAAATGTAAACAGTAGCAGCAGCAGCAACAACAAGAAAGCGCGGATGTAAATGGAATATTTATTCCAGCTGTAATCGCAATTGCACACATATGTATGTATATGTATCTACATACATACACATATGTATGTATGTACATAAATATATGTTATATATACATATATATATATGTTATTATTATATACATATATATATGTTATTATTAGGCGATTGCAGTATTTTTAAAAATTAACGAATATTTTGCATTTTTGCATTTTTCAGATTCACGCACGCATCAGATGCATAATTCCGTTAATAATAACCGAAAAGTCTTATGGTGGAAAATCAACACGTCTGCTGATAATAATTGCCCATTGTTTACTTTTGCCAGTGACTAACGGAAGTTGCAGCTTTCAAGAAGCCGTTGCTGGAAGCCGCAACGCGGATATTTAGCGCTCAGTGACATTTAAGACCAAACAGAAAATGTAACAAAAACAACAACATGAGAAACAAGAGTGCTGCCACGCTGTTCTCGTTTTGCTACGTCTGCTTCTTTCTACCTGCGACAACAACAGCCGAATAGCCGAATAACCGCACAGTCGTCGACCGAAGAAGATAGCGCGCAGAATATAAAGACACTTCACATGCACAAGGCACGCACAGCACACACAAACACACACACACATACATGCACGCACACTGACATAGCGCGTGCCCCGATCAACGATCGATTCGAGTTGCGAACGCGAGCGCGTAGCCAAAACGTTGCATCAACGTTGCCGTCACTTTGTTTAATAATAGTAACTAAACCAGTCAACCGCCGCGTTGGCCAAAGCTTTTTTCTGCTCGTAGCGGCAAGCCAAACGGTTGAAATTTTAACCGATTGAAGAGCGTGCACTCTTAACCGTTTTGCAACTGTCAGTTTGCGCTCTCTCTCTCTCTCTCTCTCTCTCTCTCTGTCTCTCCACTCTCTCACGAGCAGTTATAGGAGTTTCTTGCAAAAAAGAGCACCAAGAACGAACAGCTGTTGACAGTTTTTCAAAGTGCGCACTGAAAGTGCGAACAGTGCGGCAACTTGTGGATAATATCGGGAGTTTCAAATAAAGCTCGCTTTTAAGAGCTACCCATAAGCACACAAGGTCGCAGCCGTAACGAGTTTATCTGTTGTTGTTGCTGCATGTAAAGCGAGCTTTTTCATAAAGCTCAATTGTGATCGCTATGGAGAAATTCTATTAAGGGGAGAATTATGCCATTTGTCAAATTGTATTTCAAGGATTGGTAGCATATAAATTGAAATACACATAATTAATTTTCAAAACAATCGCCTTCGATCCATTTCAATAGCTATTGCTCTGTATATATGTATATACACACGTGTTTATGTGTATGTACGTGTCTCTGTATACATATGTAAATATACATACATGTACACAAATTCTATCTAATCGTTCATTTTCGGTGTAATCAACACTAGTTATTCACATTAAGGCTGCATAAATATATATATATATATACATATATATATATATATATATATATTGCTCCCACAAATGAGTCGCGGCAAGTAAAGGCAAATTATAATTACATTTCTGATAAGATTATAGCAACAAAATAAACAAATAAAAATAGTGGGAATATTTTAGCACAGGTGTGCATAGTAAATATCACAGTCTACAAAAGAGCGCGCCAGGTGATTCCGATTCGCATTCAAGTGCTGGCGACACACCCACCAGGTGGATTACTATCCAGGTAACTGCTAAAATAGCTGTTTGATTAAACAAAGAAATCTAAATAAACGATTATATAATAAACGATTAATTAATTATAAATATAATTTGATCTACCCGGAATCCTCTGAAAGTGGGGAACCAGTGTATGCGCTGTTTGCGGAGATGTATGTATCAGACTACAGGAGGCATGGCATACCCCCTAACATACCGATTACGATTCAGATTTACTGTGTTGGTCACTAATATATACAGAACATGTCTATTGTTTATCTGGGATATTGGATATCACCGGATCACCGCATAGCTATGCTGGTTGATCACTTCTCTTACGTAGTCAAAGATACCAACTAACTTCTTGAAAATCATATGCCTAATGCCTTTCAAACGCAAATAGCCTTTACCTTCAGAATTAAATAGTCTCTGGCATTCTGTGTCAGACAGCAGTGAGCTTAGCGAAATAGTGTTAGAGTGTTATTTATTAATTCGTATTCAGATACGCAAATCTATACATATGTATGTATATGATATAGACAGCAAACCATTGATCATTCCTGTGTGAAAACTAAGGAAACATCTATTTTCATTCCTAAAATGAAAGCTCTCGATGACAAAAGCAAAGATCAAATGTTAATTGAACTATTGTTGTCAGTTTCCAAATGGAATGTAACTTAACGATTTATTTTTCTATCATATACTTCGCCATAGGCAATCCGGTTATTAATAATAAGCTTAGCATCCAAAACGTGAGCTAGTTGTCTCGTCTGTTTAGCTCTTTATAGCATTACTGTAGCTTCGTCATCGATTTGCTCCTGCTCAGATGAAACCATTTGAGAATTCTATGCTTTCAGCTCATGTACAGAGTCTAAAAGCCTCAATAAACTATTGTAATCTATTTAGTAATCCATTCAACTGATAATAGTTTTGTTCCTCTACACAACTCAATAGACATTATATCATCAGAAATAAGTCGCTGTATGCATTTTAAAGAAAAATTAACAAAAGTATGTCTTGATTATAGAAATAGAGTAAAGAGCAAAGAGATTTTGTCGATTCTCGATTGGAATATGCATTCTATTAGTCATGTATATACTAGTTCCAAAACCAGTATTATTATTATAAACAATTTTTAAGGTTTACAACAGTACATCATGTAAAAGCACTTTAAATAATAGCGTTTCTGTTATACCAGATCTGCCATACCCAATATTAACACTACAACACGGGAATAAACTCTTTTAACTCCGCAGATGAGGAAATTGAATTTACAGTAATAATAATAGTTATTGAACTTGAATAAGTTTGATTTTTACTTATATATGATGTGGCAGACAGTTGTCCGCGCTATTCAATGGACATTTTTCTACTTATTCTAAAAGAGTGTATTAGTTTTCTTTTCCGTCTGTTATGTTAGTGCATGCTCTGTTTAAAGATACATATGTTTAATCGGATTTAATGATTTGTAATATTACATATATTACATATGTATACCTATACACATAGATTGCAAATCTGACTTATCTCAGCTAGAAACTGTTTAAATTACGCCTTTATGATGAGTCAATCGCTGATATACACATGTTGCAAATCTCTAAAGTACGAAACACAATGAATCCGGAACTGGAATGGGAGTGCGAATGATTAAAGGAACAATCGATTGATGGAGATAGACATGCCACAGTAGATTGTGCAGACTAAAACTTAACTAAACTAATTACATCTTAATAGTAAATACATACATACATATATACATATGTACATACATATATCTTTTATATAAAACTTACGACATATGTAGTTGTGAGTGGTAAAATAACTGTAATATCCATGTGCCAAGAGTTTTTGGTTCCGGAATATCCTTTGAATTGGTTCGATTAGCTTAAAGTTAGATTCAATTTGATTCCTTTATGAACAAGTTTTCATGATTCTTGCGAATTGCTTTCAATTATACATATACACACACACATATGCAAATTAAAATTCGTGGGTTTGTGTAATATGTATGTATGTGTTTCTATTATATGGGTGCTAGTTCGCTCTTTGATGTAGTATTCCTTTCGACTCGCTCGCAAGTGCAAATCAATTGGGGCATAACAGCAAAGGCGCACGAAAATCTTTGTATTTTAATTTCCAAATTGTTGTTATTCCCAATCAACGCGAACTCGATACATTGACGCGCACACATACACAGACACGCCGAGAGGAGAGTGAGAGCGAGAGCGAGAGCGAGAGCGGGAAAGAGAGACCGAGACGCACGCGTAGCTGTTGAACTTTCTCAACACCAGTTGAAAACTTGTTGCCGTAAATACATACATACATACATATGTATGTACGTACATACATATATTTATGTTTAGCAGAGCGCAGTAGCCGCGGCCTCCGCCAGCTTTGCCGTCTAAGTTATAACTGACAAAGCAAACGTAAGAAAAATAACAACATGCTGGCACAACTGGAAAAGAGCACTGGAAAGGCAGCCAGAGCGAGCCAGCTGCATGTTGCGAATCTTAAAGACTGAAAGTACGCGCCGTGTATTGCAAGAGCATATCGTTCGATGCGCCCGCATTGTGTAATTTCTTATTTTGTTAATCAAGTCAACTCAAGTATTTTTCACCAAGTGTGCACTTTAATTCAAGCTTTGACATTTCTTATCGTCGCGACGTATTCATTCCAGCGTCATAACGCATGAGCTTTTTCGGCTCGGAGCGACATGTGAGAGAATCTGAGCGTAATGGCGATCGAACAGCTGAGCAATTGTACAGTGGTACAAATACCAGATTTTTATACTTTTTAACGAAAGTGAATTAGGATATTGGATTTGTACAAAGTTTTAAAGTTAGGTTACCGTTAGCTTGTTATACGAACTGTCCAAAAAATAAGGTGTCTACGCCCAGTTGGGGCGTGGTAAATCGAGAAAAACTGCATTTTCTTTAGTTTTAAAGCTTAACTTGGTTACTAAGTTGCTGATGAGATGTGAATGAGTATTCTGCATTCGGTAACGCCCGACTACGACGTTTTTGTGTTTCTACGTGTGATTGAAACTCTAGTAAATACAGTTTTACCCGACTTGTCACGCCCCTAATGGGCTTACATACATATTACTGACATAGCTTGTTGATCTCTCTGGTACATCGGAAAATGCATTTTCCTATTTGCCATGATTCTTTTCATATGGTTTCTTCCATTTTTTTCTAGCCCGCTATGTCAGCATTTCAGCCTACATTTATCCAGAATCCAACTTACTTCGGAGCTCAACATCTGGCAAGACTGGTGATACGACGTTCATATCTATTCCTAATAACAGTTATACATTCTGTTATGCAATACAATTACTGTGCGAAATGACCCATACTTACCTCTACGTAGGCCAATGCCTAGCTAAATGAAATAAGAATCACTGCTTTGATATAAATAAATAGTTTGATAAGTGATAAGAGTCACACTCGAAATAACACACACACACACACACACACACACACACACACACACACACACACCTGATAAGAGCTTAAATCAAAATAATAATGTTCTCTTTACAGGGTGTCCCTTTTGGATTAACTTGAAACATTTTGGTAGATTTCTTCTTTATATAATATTTTATTTATTTTGTTGTTTTCTCTTGTTTTCGTTTTTAATAGCTTTATAAATTGATTCATTTTCCCAGAAAAAATAATGTATGAACGCTCTAATCTATCAACTACGTACATTAAGTTTTTACTTTCCATATAAATTGTTTAGGCATATATATCTATATATATATTTATGTTTATAATTATTTATAAATGTAGTAAATTGTATTTTGTATGCTTTTTGACATTTTTGAATTTCGAATGGGGTTTTAGTTTATTTTTTTTTTTTACAGCGATCCCTTGCAGCGTTTTCCAAATACGTTAATCAAAAATAGTTACATTTTTAACGGTTTATTATTCCAGTTAATTTTCGAAAATATATAAGTATATATGATTAATCTATAGCACATTAAATTTGCTTATAAAGCTACTGCGTATAGTGTTCTTCTGTCTGTATGTGTGGGTGTGGTATTGCTTAAATAACTCACATTGGGAATCTAAATTTAGATTGGAACTGCCAACAAGAAAAACAATTGATAATACAAATAAGAACCTTTGATTAGAAAGAAGCATATAGATTTTCTTTACGAATATTACGATAAATATTTATCCATGTTCATATTTATATATATATTTATATCTATGTATATGTATATGTATATGTACTGCCATTAAATTAATATATATAAATATATATGTATGTATATATATATATATATATATTATAGATTTGCAATTTGTATATTACAAAAAACCATAAGCGTCTCGTTTGCGTGATTACATTGATCTAAAACGATGCATGGCAATTGTTGATTTGATTTATCATTTATATAGAAATATATGTCCTTATACATTGGAAAAATCAAATGAACTACTGCAACACACCCCCTAACGTATTTCCAAATTTCATATCTTATGTATATATACTATTTTAATTATTATTATTTTTTTTTTTTTGACACAATGTGCTTCGTTCTCGCCCACCGTCCAGACACACTTTAGGCATCCGACAGATCACAGTAAGCGTTTCCTCCTCCCACTCCTCCACCTCCGCTGGTACCCGCAGCCAACGTCTTCTGCTCATCATCCATAAGTGCATCGGCAAACTCGACACTCGCCTCATGATGGTTCACCTGCGGCGAGGAGCTGCTCTCGCCACAATTTGTGGCATAGACATGCCGTCTGCTGCCTCCAGGCAGCTGATTAGAGTCATCCGTGTCTGCATCTCTTATGGAATTGAATGCATTACATGCATTCGCATTCGGTGAACAGGTGTCATCATTGGGTGGATAAACGTGACGATGATAGCTCCCTCCCCCGCTGCCTCCGCCACTTATGCTGCCATCTCCATCCAGCTCCGCATCCCGTACGCTGCCAAACACCGGCGTATGCGAAGAGCTCTTCCGCAACGAGGCAGGCGGCGACCAGACGGTCTGGTACAGAGGCGAGGCGAAGACGTACATGTGATTCAGATACTCCATGTCGTAGCTGGGCTGATACGAGTCCGTTTCTAGCGGGTTGTACGTGTGCTGATACATCGGCGTTTGCCGGCAGCTGGCCGAGCCAGAGGCGCTGCCCGCATACTGCGGCGTATCGTAGTTCTGCGAACGCGTCGAGCTGCTCAGCAAATGCAGCTGGGCGTGGCCTCCGTGACTCCCGCCCGCACTGCTGCCCCCACCACCCGCTCGATGGGCAGGCAGCGTGGCATAGATGCCGCGATATGCCTCATACGGTGTCTGCGGATAGTACGCATCGCTCCATCGCACATGATTCGGCGTGTAGTCGCCTTTGGCATACAACTGCAATGCAAATGCGGGAAATTTAGTTTGTAAACTTTCAGAAAGGCTTTCAAAATGAGAGCTAATATATTGAATAAGAATATTAATAATCATTATTTATAGTAGTTTACATGGAAAATTATATAGTAAAATACTATAAATTCATATGTTAGGCTAATAAACCTACATGGAACAGAGCTAAAAAAAAAGCCAGCTTTTAAGTGTTTCAATTGTTACACTTCTTCAAGTAGTAGATCATTTTCCTCACCTGTATGGGTCGACAAAAGCCCTTATTCATATGCCTTGGCACGCCCAGCGTATAGCTGTGGCTGAAGCCGACCTCCGGGCCTAGAAGATACTCGTGGAATTTGTTGGGGAAGAATTCGATCTTTTTGTAGTTGTTGTAGATTTCGGGCTGTAAGTTTAAATTAGACATTATTCACAATGCAGAATAGTGCATAATAAGAGGCATACCGTTAGGTTCTTCTTCTTTTTATAGCTGGCCCAGTTTTGCGCCTCGAGGATGAGCTTGCCGCCGGGCCGTAGTTGGTTGAAGATGCGCTTGAAGGCCAGTTTGAGGCCCGCGTCCCCAAAGTTAAGATGTATCCACTTGGTGACCGATAGGCACAATATGAGATCGTATTGCTGAGTATCATTCGACATGAGGGACTCGTCCTTCAGGACATAGTTCGTTTGGCGAAAGAAAACATTTTGTGGAAATTGGTTTTTGCAATTGAAACTGAGTGGAGATTTGCCCGTGGGCGGCAAGTGGGGCATGCCACCGTAGGTAAGTGGGAAGGAAATGGGAAAGAATTCGTGCGGCTTGACCAGCAATGCATCCAGTTTCTGTAGCTGCTCCAAATGATGATGATCGTGACTGTGATGATGGTGATGATGATGGTGGTGGTGGTGATGAAATTGTTGCAGGTGCTGCAGGGCCAGCTGCTGCTGCTGCTGCAGTTGTTTCTGGTACTGTTGCGCCTTTCGGCGCTTTTTGCCACGTCGCGTCTTTTTATGCCCATCCCCTGGCTCCGTCTCCGCCTTATCGGGCTGTGACTGCAACTGCAGCTGCTTAGTCTCTGGCGCCAGACGCTCCTCCTCGGGAATGCGCACAAATATCGATAAGTTCCGCCGCGCTCTGGCAATCAGTTCGCGATCGATGTCAATGCCCAAAATGCTCTTGGGCGCCAAATGTCGAGCCACTGTGATGGTCATGTGGCCCACATTGCAGCCAATGTCGAGAATGTCCTTGTTCTGGAACAGTTCCACATGCTGCTCGAACACCTGCAGTCGCACGTCCCGAAACTCGTTGAGGTGTCGGAAGTCCACATAGCGATCGAAGTTGCCGTAGCGGTATTTGAGTCCATCCGCCCGGAATTTGGGCGTCGCCGCAGGCAGTGGAGGGATCAAAGCAGGCTCTAGCATCAGGCCAGCCACAGGCTGCTCATCATTGGCCGCTGTCGCGTCCGCCGTTGCGGCTACTGCTGTAGATGTGGCTGTTGCGTCATCCGCCGAGGGCGTATCCGGCTCCCCGGCTGTGTGCGACGTGGCTGCGGAAATGGTGCTCAACGGACTGCCCAGGCCATGCTCCGACAGGTCGGGCGTATCGTCGCGTGGTATGTCCACAACTGAAAGAAAGGCAGGATTATAGTGTGTGTCACCAATTGGTCACTTGTTGCGTTTACCCTCGATGAGCGGCTTGTTTGACAGCTCCTCCACGGGACTCAGCTGCTCCGTTTCGCTAAAGGATGTCGAGCGCCGCGTGTTCGGCTTGCGTGCCCCACTTGGCTGCAGAAGACGTGGCGGCCGCTTCCACGCGCCCGGCTGTGGCACCACAGGACTCACGATTTTATCCAGGCCATCGTGTCGATGGAATTTCTATGCAAGCAAAATATTTTAATTAGTATAGAAATCATAACTATTTTTTAGAGTTCCTCATAATATTTGTAGTATCTATTCCATTTCCATTACCACTTATTTATATAAAAAGTGAACAACGGAAAAACAACTTGGGTACATTTTTAATCGCTTTTTGCAACCCTCAGAAAAGAGTACCGAAACAAAATTCTTTCTATGTCGCCCCTGACCCCTTAACCTCAATCTAAGCAACGCTTGAACAAACAGCCAAACGAAAACAACAAAACTGACAAATAAACATGCGCGCTCTTGTTGGCAGAACTCGACTAGGCGCTACCCTGCGCCCTATACAATCCAGTATATCGTAAGCTTCTTTTAATTGATATAAAAATAAAGCTCAGGTATTTGAAATAGGTTTTGCAATACAAAATTAGTGGTATTCCTTTATGATATTAAAAGACGCCTAATCGGCTCGCGAAATCGGCCGAAGTATCAAGTAATAAGTAAAAGCTACATTGCTTTACTTTATACGGGCGGATAGATCATTACTCATACTTATACTTTTCGTACATTTACTGCCTGTTACATATATTTTCACTAAACTTGTATACCCTGATTTCACATTTTCATTTGGCTCAGAGTATAAAAACAGCTAAAAGCAATCAAAACAAAGCAACCGATTGACTTGCTTCCACAACAACAACAGTTAGGCCCAAGCTTAAGCACACTCACATTCACTCACACACACTCACACATAGCAGCCATATTCACACAGCCATATTCACACACATTTTCCATTCCCATTCCCATCCATTTCAATTCCGTTTCGTACCCACCTTGCTCTTTTGCGAATTGTTGCTCTCGCTGATTTTTCGTTTCCTGCTGCCGCTGCCAAAGCCCGCAGCGCTGCCTGCGGCAAAGCTCAGCCCTGTGCCGCCAACACCGTAACATGCGCTGTCCAAATCCAGGCGCAAGTCTCGACTGGCCAGCGCACGTCGATCGGCCAGCGTGGACGCCACTGCGAGCGCCGCTGCCGACGTCGAAGCGTCTGCTGATGCTGCGCTAAGCTCCAAATCATCTGAGCTGCTTTTTATGCTGCTGCTGCTGATGTTGCTGCCGCCTCCAGTCGCTGTCAGCGTGTTGCTGTTGTCGCTGCTAGTCAGCTCGGAAACTGCGGCCATATGTTGCTGTTGCAGTTGTAATTGCAACTGCTGTTGCAGTTGCAGTTGATGTTGCAGTTGTTGCTGAGGCATAGCTTGTTGCAGTGGCGATGACGTTAGCACTGGTGCCGGTCGCATACGGTTGCATTCCATTTGTTCCTGTGGCGAGAGCGTTTGTGCTCCGGCTGCTAGAGCTGGCGTTGCCGTCTCCTCCATGGCAGTGGCCGCTGCCTGCGGAGAGCGAGAGCGCACATGCGCCTGCTGTGGTGCCAATTCCGACGTTTCAACTGACGCCGACGCTGCCGCCTCGCTCAGCAGAGTTGTGGCGCTCAGCGCAGCCACTGGTGACGTCGCAGCCGTCGTCGCTATGACTGCTGCTTCTGTTGCAGCAGCAATTGTCGCTGCTGATAATATTGTTGTTGGAGTTGATGCTGCTGTGACATTGACGGCTGCGTCGGCTATCTCTGTCGCTGCTGCTTCTGCTGCTGATGCTGTTGTCGTATTCGTTGCTGGCACATCTTCCAGTGAAATCGAAAGCGTCGCCGCCTCAGCGACGCCGTCGGCTACGATGACTGCGACGTCATCGCCGGCATACGATGTGTTATTAGAATCGAAACGCCGACGCTTTCGATTCTTGCGCTGCCTATGCTGACGGTGATGCGGTTGCTGCTGCTGCTGCAGCTTCAAGTGGCTGCCACGAGTCAGCATGCCGCCCCGCTTCATCGGTGACGTCAGCTGCTTCTCGTATTCCATCGAATCGACTGGGTCAAGAAGATGCAACGGATCATGTATATTCGGCGGTATAATCACCTCCACCTTCGGCGGTGTAGTTATCGGCGACTGACGCGGCGTCGTCGCCGGCGTATTGTTGCTAGACGAGGCATTCGACGTGTTCTCGTGCTGCAGCGAATTCAAGTTCAACGGATCCGAAATGTTGCCACCCAGCAGAAACTTTGTGGGCGGCACAATCACCTCCTTGCGCAAACGCTTCTCGGACAGAAAGAACTTCGAACGACCGCAGCAGTAGTGCACGGCGTTCGCTGCTGCAGCGCTGCCCGAGTTGATGCTGCTGTTGCCGCTCAGCGAGCTGGTGTCCTTGTTGCTTTGCGTGTCCTTGCCGGCTGCGCTGCCCACGCTGCCGTTGCAGCCAGTTACCAGGCAGCAAGTGTGATTCGCATTGTTGCCGGAGCACAAGACGTGATGATGATGACCTCTGTTTAATGGGAGAGAGACAAATATATATGCATATAATTAATACATATGTTTTACATTATATTGTGGATTACAATTTTCTTTTCTACTTTTGTTATTTTTGTAACTTCTTACGTCCACTACTATTTTCGTTGTCAACGTATTTCGGTAAAATTATGAAAAACTGATTAATTCTGTCGGAGCATGACTTTGCTAATGCTGCCCCTTTCGTTTGGATAATGTGTTGTGTTTCTATACTTCTACTACTTATATAAAATATACTTCGATCTTTTGCTTGCATATTTAACCTCCTAAAAGCCCTATATATGACGTCACATTACCTGAATTAACGTAACGTAACTGATTGCATTCTGTTACGTAACAGCGCTACGTACGCGAGTTAGCCAGCATTAGTTAACATTTGAATTATATTACGGTATGTTACCTGTGTGGCAGCATCTTTTTGTACTGCTGCTGCTGCCCCTTCAGCCCGTGACCGTGACCGTGCCCGCCCAGCTTGGCATCCATCGGTGCCATGGGCAGGCCGTTGCCCACAATCGCTGCCGCAGTCTGCGCCAGCCGCGTATTATGGTTGTGATGATGGTGATGAGCTGCGCTGCTGGCAGCGCCGCCAACGCTCACGGAGCCGGCCGCTGCGTTGTGATGTGCACCGGCTTGATGCGCTCCGCTATGGGCGTGGCTGCCAGCTATTTGATTTTTGATATTCTGTATGTTCTCCAGATCGGCCTTGTGGGCGGCCGCAGTGGCACCCGATGCTGGCAGCGAGCCGGCGCCGGCGCCGACCCCTGCCTGGGCAGCGACGCCGCTGCTGTTCGTCGAGTGATGGGCGGCATAAGGATGATGATGGTGCTGATGCTGCTGCTGAGCGCTAGCGCCGACGCAGGCGCTGGCATTGTATTTACCGCTAGTCTTATGCTGGCGTTTGCTCCAAGCCTTACTACCGCTGCCGCTGCCGCTGCTGTTGCTGTTGCTGCTACTACTTTTGTGCTTGGTGGATTGTTGTTGTTGTGCTGGCGCTCGAAACTGATGGTGCGTCGCCGTCGGCGTGGACGCTGATGTTGACGCTGCCACTGGCATCAACTGCTGCTTCGGTGACTTGACTTTGATTTCCGTTTGTTCATCTGTTGACTGTTGTTGCTGTTGTTGCTGCTGCTGCTGACGCCTAGGGCTTTGCTGTAGCCGCAACGTGGGCGTCATGCTCGATCTGGTTACGCGACACTCACTGGGACTGACGCTGCTTGATTTATCCATTACTCTTCTCTCTATACTCCGAAACTTTTAATTACTGTTTAGCACTTAGGATATTTCGTATTTAGAATTGTTTTACTTTGTACACACAAAAATATACTCTGCATCACATCATCACATGCTGCTTACATATTAAATTCTTTTTAATTTATCATTTTTTTAATTTTATAATTCTTTATATTTTTTTATATTATGTAAATTATTATATTATATTTGTTAGGTTGTTTTATTTTGTGTTAAAAAACTCACTGCATAGGAATATGCATATAAATATACTTTTTTCAAAGAATGTTTTTCACTTGAGTTTTAAACAAATTCTGCTCAGCCCGCAACCTTTCCGGGATCTGAGATGATAGCACCGCGTCCGGCATTAATACGGACATCCTTAAACACGGCGGTAAATACGTATTTTAACATTTTATTGCATTCGCCTTTTTCCTCTGTAAAAGTTTAAATTTTTTTTTTTTTTTTTCTTTTGCTCTTAACACTCTTTTTAGCTGTGAACTATGAACTGTGTTCTATATTTGTATTTTTCAGTTCCTGTTGGAAAATTTTTGCTTCCGTTGCCCGCTTTCACTTCCGCTTCCTATTGTATATTAATCTGCAAGAAAATTAAATGAGAATGGGTAGAAATTAATTGCAAATTTTATTACCGATAGTAATTAAAGGGCAAAGCTCTCGAAAAATTCATACACACACAAAAACGCATTAACCGAAAACTTGATGGGAAAGTGCAAAGTTCTAAGGCAAATGTACCGCAACTCTATGTCTACACCCTGTTTGTAGCACCCCACCACACTCCGGCTCGGTGTTACTGCTGCTTTTCGCCTCAGACACACTTCAGCAATATTTTGCATTCATTATTTGCATAGTCAGCCACCAACGTTGAGCCAGCGAACCAGCCAGCCAGCGAGCGAGCGGAGCAACGACACAAACGAGTTTTTCCCTGCACCCAGCATCCATCCCCATCTCTATGCCCAGCCCCCATGTTCAGCTACCAGAGATATCAACCCAAAACCTAAAACCACTGTTGAGACCCAAGCGTCTTAGTTGAGCGAAGTGGTACATATACTTCTTATACGTAAGTTATAAGTGTTCTCTTGGAACTATCATTCCATTGTTTCTATTGTAAGTTTGAGTATCTTTTATATGTGTACAAATCGACACAAATATTCTATTTTGTAATCTATATCTACTATATGTAAGAAATTTATTTACATGTTCTCTTGATTCTGACTCCAATTTTCTATTGTAAGTATATATATATATATATATATATATATATATATATATATATATATATAT